CCCCCTCTCCCATGTCCCCCCGGAACTGTCAGTCCCGTTGTTTTCTCCTCCAGATTGTTCATCCAGCCTATCTTATTTAGACAGATCTGCAGAGACAATAACATGCACAAAAACAAGACAGAGCAAAGCTAAGCAACAATATACAACAAAGCAACAACAAACCAATGACCAAAAAAAAGCAGAACAAAACACAACAATAGTTGTTCAAGGACTGTTTGTTGGCCTTTAGGAGTGTTTTCCAGTCCAGTCTGTTGGAGCATCATGCCCTGGCTCCAAAGTCCACCTTCAGCATTGCCTGGGGACCTTGCTGCTCCATTCCTTTGCTATTCTGTTGCACCCTCTTAGTGTTTTGCCTTGGTGTGGCAGGATCAGATCGGGTGCAGTTCCCACACTGTGTCTCTGGTGTTGTCCCCTGTAGGGCTATGAGTCAGTGAGGGGCGTCATGTCTCATAGTGGGGCCGGCCATGTGGTCCTTTCTGTGGACTGGCTGCTCTAATTGGGAACATTGTCCTCAAGGCCTGGTGGGTCAGGATGTGCTCCACTCTCTCATCCTTCCCCTTCATCTGCTCCCGTGTGCTCCGATCAGGTCTGTCCCTCTCGCAGAGCTGCAGATTCAGTGCCCTCCTTTGAAATAAATTCTTCTGGGGGGAGGGGTAATGATCTTTAGTTTAACAACACATAAAAATGTCATTTAAAAAAATGCTTGAAGGACTCATACCATGCTCCTCTTAAATGTGTTTTGTGTTTGGAGAACAAAAGGAAGTCTGAAGACACAAGATCAGGGATGTAGGATGGATAGGGCAAGGTTCCCCAATGACATTTTCACTGGATAACCTTTGTTACCCTTCAAGAATGAGCAGGCGCATTGTGATGAGGAAAAAATTCCTCAGCGCAACTTTTCTGGCCTTTTTTCTCATTGATTCAGCTCTTCATTGTCCTAATGTGAAGACTTACTGCTGTCAAGAAGTAAACCCATGTGATGGTCCTGTGTTCTTTAAGAAAATCTATCAAGTTTACCCCTCTGAGATTCTTCCAAATAGTTGCCTTAACCTTCTAAACTGTCCCCTCTGTCTTGAATGAACTGGTCCAGCAGATACCCTCAGAAGGCACTAATTTGACTGTTGTTCTTTTTTTTTCTTCAAGGCACCCTAAAATTGGGTGAGTGCTGGACTGCTAACCACAAGACTGGTGATTCCTACACTTCAGCCACTCTAAGGGAGAAAGGTGAAGCTAGAAAGATTTACAGACTCTGAGATCCTCTGCTGAGTCGCTGTGAGTTGCAATGTACTTGATGGGAATGGGCTTGGAATTTTTTTGGGGGGTAAAAATGGGGGTAAGATGGGTGTATTACTAGATAATTTATCTGCAGCAGAAATATGTTTAATATATGTTTAATTCATGCATTATAAGCAGGAGCCCTAGTATCAATACTTTCTTGCTTGCTCTTCTAGCCTACATGCCAAAAGAATAGCAAGATCTTACTAGCACACACAGGCAGAGAAGGGACAGGTGTGTGAGTGAATCTGAAAGGTATTATTCTAGTGGGAAGCGAATACAGTAATCTGGAGAAGGGGAGTTCATTGACATACGATTTAATGTTCTGCCAGACACTCTGAAATTGATTCTAGTAGCTTTCTATGATGGTTCATTGAACACTGGACATGATGAAGGTTTAGAGTAACTGAAGTTGAGTTTCCAGAATATCCTTAATATGGTATTGAGTAGCTTTGTGATCTTGGAAATACATGGAAGGATTTACTAGGTATGGCATATGAATGCATGACCCATTCCCCTTGTGAGCTAGAGACATTCTCTTTCTTAAAATATTAAGAGGCTGCTGGTATTTAACTAACTATATAAAAGCTTGGTGTTCACTACTCTATTCCGGTTTGTTAGTCATAGTTCTCTGCAGATGGTGAGAGAAGCTGCTGCTTCCTTCCTCTTCCTTTCTCTTCCTTCTCTTCCTCCTCCTCCCATAGGAAGCTGCTTGATGTCAGTGGAGATGTTGGGACTCTAGAATGGCAGAGACCAAGCAGCAATACTTACACATCAGAGGCAGTATGTTGTCATCGCAACAGAAGTGTGACTGGACGGTTAATATCTATGGCAATGGCTGTCAGATCATGGTGTTTTCAGTGTGAGATGGATTAATATCCAATTAGAGTGTTACTTGATTTTTGTGACCTTTTAAGATCAGTTTTGTTAAAACGGCACAGACCTCATTGTGAAAAAAAAATTCAATCTATATAGAAAATGCCTCAAAAATGCAAAATTTCTTCTCATCAGACAATCCCATCTTTCTCATTTTGGTGGCCAGTTAGTTACCTAGATACCTTGGCGTGCTTGCGTTTATCATTTTACATAAACAGACTGGCTGTAGTGTTGCTCTATCAGCTGCTGGTTTTGTTTATTAGTGCTGCTACAACAGAAATCCATTTTCTCAAAATCTAGGTGGCTAGAAGCTTGAAGCTTTAGAGCAGGGGTGTCAAACTGGTGGCCCGCGGGCTGCAGGCAGCCCCTGAGGTAATTTTTTGTGGCCCTGTGATGCTCTGAAATAAAATGAAAATAGAAAAAATTGTTATGAAAAAATAGTACTTAGGGGAGATCGAGGCAATACCATACACACAATTCCCTCGTTAACCCTTTAACTACTGACGAGCAGTAAGATCACAAAATCAAAGTTGCTCATTCTAATTGAGTTTGACACCCCTGCTGTAGAGAAGGTTTTTTTCTCTGTGTCTACTCAAGGGGAAAGCACTTGACTTTCTCAGGTCTGTTCCTTGGTGTTCGGAGATCTCCAGTGGCATGGCATATATCTTCTTCCCCGGGGTTGCTCGCTTCTCTGCCTAATTTGCTCTTTTTATTCTTCAAAAGTGATCAGATTAAGATGCAGCTTAGGGAGCA